CCGCCGCCGCCGCCCCCCCGGCCCTGCGCCGCCCCGGCCTCGATCCCACAGCTGGAGCGGGCGGAGCCTCCGCCATCACGTGACACCGGCGAGCCGCGGGGCAGCCAACCAGCGCCGAGCCGGCCCGGGCAGGGCGGGGGCGTCGGCGCTGGCGTCACAGAGGGGCGAATGCTCTGAGAAGCAGGGTGAAGGGATTGGACGGGCTGCGCTGGCGTCACAGTGGAGCGAACGCCGGGATTGGAGGCGCTGATGCTGACGCAATGGAGTGGGGGCGGATCTCGCTCGGTGCAGTGGTGCCCCCGAGCCCGCTCTCTACCCAGGCTCCGCGGCTCATTGCCGGGTCTTGCAGCGACTGGAGCATCCAAGCCTGGCGCTCTTCCATTGACCCCCACGGGCGTGCAGACTTTAAAACCTAATGTCAGGTCCCCTCAAAAGTAAATACTGAGAACAAACGCGGTTGATCTTGTTCGCAGAAACCTCCAGCTAAGCCACTTACCCAGCAATGCAGCTGTCTGTGTTTCAAAGGGAAGGAATAAAGCTGCATGGTTTGAAAAGTAAACAGAACTGTTGGTTTTTCAATGGGATTATTCAAATAGCTGAGATGCTTCCTCTGGTCCTTAACCTGGGAGGACTGGCGCTAACCCTGGGAGGCCGGGCGGGTCTGTCCCCAGGGGCTGCCTCTCCTTTTCCCTCCTCTGCTTCGAGGGCAAGGAGCTTTGCACCCACACGCACGTGCTTGGTTGAGTGTGGCATCACTGGAGTGGGTGGGCAGCTCCTCCCAGCTCTTGAAGTCGGCATCCCTTTTCTTGAGAGCTGCCTTCAAGGCGTCCTAGCCGCATTTCCTCTGCCTGCACACTATCCCAGGCCGTTATTAAAATGGGGTGCAGACGGAAGCGACGATTTTTCATAGAATCACAGAAAATTTGGGTTGAAGGGACCGCAGGAGGTCACATCTAGTCCAACCCCTGCTCAAAGCAGGACCAACCCAACTACATCTTAGTCAAGGTTTTGTCCAGCCAGGTCTTAAAAACCTCCAAGGATGGAGAGTCCACCACCTTTTCTGGGTCACCTGCTCCAATGTTTTACTATCCTCCTAGTGAGAAAATTCTTCCAAATATCTAACCTAAACTTCCTTTGCTACACCTTTTGTACAATCTGGCCACAGAAAGCAGTTTGTAGCCCAGGACAAACACAAGTGCACGGCCACAAGCAGCTTCCAAAGTGGCCAACTGGGTGAAAATCTGACCTGTTGTTGCAGCAGGTAAAGACATTTTAAAATGTAGTGTCTTCTGTAACTTGTGTCTGCAGAGCTCCCAGCCTGTCCTGTTTGCAGAATGGGGTGGGGAAAGGGAGCAGAGGGAGTTCAGGCTAGGGGGGTTTCAGCTTCCCAGAGGGTGGGGCGGGTGTACTGGAGCTTCAATTCACTCACCCCACCCTTCACCACCAGCAGAGGAGCCCCTAGAATAGCGGTAGGCAAAATGCGGCCCACGGGCCAGATGTGGCCCGCCAGGCCATTCTATCCAGCCCACGGGGCCCCTACAAATGTAGACAGTTAATATTTATCTGCTCCTGGCTGCCTGTCATGCAGCCCTCGATGCTTTGCCAAAACTCAGTAAGCGGCCATAAATAATTGCCCGCCCCTGCCCTAGAATGAGCTCCCTCCTCTGCCTTCCCCCTTCCATCCTAAAAACAGTGAGCGCTGGCAGAGAGCAGTGGCCATTGCTATAACCTGGCTGCAGGCTCCTAGGTCGCAGCTAGGACCCTCTCCCTGCTGGAACCAGCAGTGAACTTCTGTTTGGTCTGGAGCAACATAACTCAGAAGCTTTGCAAAAATCATTCGGAGTTACAGCTGAGAGCTGCACTTCTGTCTGCACCGTGGGAGTAAAGCACTGGTTTAGGGAGTCGAGCCATTCCAAAAGTCACAAACTTGGCTTAAAACCCAGGAGGTTTTGGGGTTTTTTTTAAATCTGGGGTCATTCCTTGTTCCCTGCTGTGGCAGAGCCTTGAACACACCTCACCCCTTCCTGCTGTGCTGGGGGCATTGCTATGCTACATCCCACCTCCCAGATCCTCTGATCCCAGAAGTAGTTCAGCCTGAATTGCAATGATTAGCAAGGAAGAGAAGACAGATTGAGGGACAGCTTCAAGGGAGCCGAGAGGCATAGGCCAGGGATCATACCCCAGGCAAATAAAGACACCCCTGGAAAGAACAATGGTCACAGACAGTGACTCACGTTTCTCTGCTCCCTACTTAAATTGGCCAAGAGATTGTTCTCTCAGAGAAATGAATGGGAATACAGACATTTCAATCTGAACTGTAAAACTGGACACAGACAGAGGGGTGGGAGTCTGAACCTTGCCTCAAACCATGACTATGGGTTCTGCAGGGCCTGAGTCCTCACCCCCAGGTAGTGAGTATGTCTGTGTGTTCTCCGCTGGATGTAGCTGCTCTTGGTCACAATATGCTAATATCCTAGTAAACCAGCATATAGTTCGGAGGAACTTGCTTTGGCTTCTTTTGTACTTCTCTGCATGGAATAAATACCCCCAAAGTCATCCTAGGTGTAACAATTC